AGAAGCACAAGACACCTCCGATCAACGAGGAGGTGGCTCTCATCGCGAAAGCGCTGGAAGCCGAGAAGATCCAGTCGTTTGTTGAGGATCGTCAGGCAAATGACCATGTCGTCCCTGTCCGAGACTTGATCAAGGAGGGTGCACTGTATGCCAACACGCGGAAGGCCTTTCACCGATTCACTCGTGACACCCGCCGAGCCGAGAAACGGGGTTTCGATAGGCCCGCAGAGGGTGATCAAATCGAGGAAGAAGATGAAGGCGTGGGTGAGGATCAGCCAGAAGACTATGAGCCGACAGAGGATGACTTGCGGGTGGACGACGAGGAGTTTTTTGACATGATGGAGCCGGGCGAGATCTTGAACATGGCTATGGAACTTGTTGATAGTGCACTTATTGACTCAGATACAGAGGATTGAATATATCTATTATATTTGTTTACTGGGCTTGCAATAAATTCTCTACAGGAGGCGGTGTTGGCGAGGCGGCCGGGGAAGGTATATCGACTGAGCATTAGAGACATCAAATATTAGCACGGCCATCCATGGCACATAAAGTGACATACCTGGAAGCTGTTCGTGGCCAGGAAGATCTGCTATGGTGCTCAGCATATACAGCTTTCGGTCGAATATTTTCTGGAGATGATCGGCATCCTGGTAAACCTCTGATTCGTCGAGATTGTATTTGCGAGCATTGTCGAACATGAGATGCCATGCCGCGCGGTACTCGGCAATGCTCGTATAATGCGTGGCTTTCTGCGATAATTTCTTGATTTGTGCCATGGAGATTGGGTCGTTGATCTTTCCCGGCCCATCATAGTAGTCCGGAAAGTGCTGAGGGTCCGTGAGCGAGCAGTACAGTGAGAGATGAGGTTATACATACATTTTTCTGGGGCAGCTTAAGGAAGAGCTGGCATCTCCGCCGGGGTTCCTTCGGTCTTTTGCGTTTGCGGCCAGATGTCTCTGCGGGCAAGATTTCCATTTCGGAGTATACAGCATCGTAACATCCATCAAAGACCAGCACCAGGCGCGAACGTAGCTCCTTGAATGCAGCGGCATCGAGCATCTTTCGGTTCCGCTCCACTGCTTGAATTTCTCGAGCCTCCTTGGCGAGATCCGGAAAGTCGACGAGAACTTCTTGAATAGCGCGAACTACCGTGTCACCGTATTTCTGTGCGTAAATCCAACGGGTTTGTTGCAAAAGAGTGTCGATGGAGGTAACGAAACGTACTCGCATGGCCAGCACATCGACGACGTTATCAGGAAGAAGGACTTCGCCGGTGAGAAAATGCTGGTTCGGCCAATCGGCTTCTATGATCTGATCCCGAACATCTTGCAGCTTCTTTCGGACAGCGGTCTCCAGCTCTGGCGAACTCTTTTCTCGGCGCCCTGTTTTCAGCTGGTGGCCCCCAACCAGAGCTATTCTTTCTACTTCAAAGGCATCTGGGTCGCAATTGTCACAGCACGGCCCAGCAGGCACCGGGTAGATCAAACGTTCTGCGCGGAGGTAAGTAACTTCTGGAGGCTAATGAAATTTGAGACTTACTCTTGTCTTTATTGCTGAATTATTTATTCCACGGGATCCGGCGACACTTAGTGGTCGTGATATACTCCAAATAATACCGCTTGTCCCGCAGTTCCATTGGAGATAGAGCTTTCCGTTTGCCCTTCGTGCGACGCTGCCGTTTCAAAGGTGCGGCCGGGGCCTCTTCCTCCTCCCCTGATCCCTCCTGATTCGCTAATGCAGCGTCTCGGTCCATTGGTCCCTCTGCGTCGTTGTCGTCATCCGACTCGGAGGAGGCCGAAGCTTCGTCGGACTCTTCTTCCTCCATGCGCAAGAGGTCTAGCTCGACACAGCAACGCGTGTACATCGCCTTCGTTATGAAGAGTACTGCTTCACCACGGATGCTTAGATCACGCACGCAACGCCCGATCTTTTGGACCAGGGAGAGAAACGTTGTTGGCTTCATCCACATAATAACCCGCATGATGGTCTTGAAATCCATGCCCTGTGAATATGGTGAGACGTCATGATAATTGTGATCCCTCACGAGACTTACAAGACCGAGGGCATCTGTAGCAGAGACGCCTCGCAATTCGCCGCTTGCGATGCGTCTTTGAATGCTCTCCTTTCGCACCTCGTCTATGTGCCGGTGATAAAACTCAAATGCCTTTTTCCCATCAAGATTTTCCGGTGCGTTGTCTCGTAGGAAGTCCTGTATTTTCTCAACATCCTGGCGACCATTGCCATATATCAAAGTCTGCAAAAAATCCTCCGGTCCCTCCATATCGTCTGAGAATAGAAGCAGGAGATCTGCAAAGGAGGCCGGTTCGTGCTGCAGAATTCGGACCGATAGCGAGACGTTGAGCTTCTCGTTCGAGACCTGGACGCGGGCACAGTCGCGTGGTAAGCCGAGGTTGTCGAGTATATCGTTTGTTACGTGGTATGGAGTCGTTGCTGATGCACCGAGGATAGGAAGTCCGGTGGGGAGTCGTGCCGCCAGCTCGACGATTCTTCGATATTCTGGCCGGAAATCGTCGTTACCCCACTCCCATATACAGTGGAGTTCGTCTATTACTAGGTAGATGATGTTTTGCGTGAATTTAACTTGATTCAAGACCTTTTCGTGGAACTGCGTGCTGAGTGCCATCTCAGGTCCCACAAGACCCACACGAAAATTGTTGTTGCCCAGATCCTGATGAACGATGTCTCAGAGCCCCTCGACGCAGGATATCTGGGATATATGGCTCACTGTTAAAAGCTGGTCTAAATTTTCGCTCTTTCCAGTGATGGCTGCAGCCGGGATCCCTTTCTCATTCAAGCTCTTGGCTTGAGACTCCAAGAGCGCAACAAGAGGCCCAATGACGAGGACGATCTTCTGGCAGTTCTCCTCTGTGTTCCCCGGCTGCCAGTGGTAGAACAAAGCGTACCAAAACGCGATGGTTTTGCCCCCGCCAGTGGGAACATCCAGAAGAGTGCTGATGCCTTTCAGGATATTCTGGCCGGTCTCCTCCTGGTGGGGGTGAAGGGACGCAATGCCGAATACATCGCAAAGAGTTTGTGCAGCGAATTTGAGTCGCTCGGGGTCCAAGGTCGCGACGGGAGTGAAAGGCATGAGTTGACCCCTATAACGTTGTCTCGCACGAGATTGCTCCATATCGGAGTCATTTTTTTAGCTATTAAAAATCGAAACTCGTCAGAAGTCTTAGAATTTCGTCCTCTACAAAACTGTCTATTCAGATCTGTGATACAAAATAGTTTTACAGGACACTCTCGAAATTTTGACGAAGTCATTTAAAGATTGTCGGCAATCTCCGTGTCTATAGGTCACCGGTGATTCGGTTCCAGTCCCTCCGGTATCACTGATCGAACGACTATCTTCGAGATTTGACACCGTTGGGACTGGTTCGAGTCTAGCCGGAATTGGACATCGTGACGATCAGTAGCGGCTTTAGTCCCACATTATACCTCCTCCCTTGGAATCAAATATTTCCATCCAATGCATTCCCTTCCCCCAGGACCTCATTGGAATCTTGCGTTCAGCGGTCAACATCAGATGCGTGAAGGCGGAGATCATTTCCTCTGCCACCGCCGAAATCATGGCAAATGTACCGGAGGTCCCACCTCTCATCCATTTGCACACACTGGACATCACGCGCGAGTCTGATCTCGAAAAACTGACCCTCCCGACTCTTATCGACCTGTGTATATCGGAGCCCTGCTTCACGTCCAGCCCCGCCGGCCCCGTCAAGATCTTCCTCTCGCGATCCGGCTGCCATTTGCCGTGGCTTCGCATTGCCATAACGGAGGCGCAACGTCCGAGGAGCCACTACCGCAGAGCATGGCCGTCCGTAGGCAAACTCGTAGTGAGGCAGCCTGAACCCGATGACTCCGATTCTGCGGGCGAACTCGGCACACTACATTCGGAAGATGACTCTTCCGGTGATGAGGACGATACCTCGTCTGAGGTATAAACGGTGCAGGTCTTGATTATGTAGTAATCTCTCGTTCTTCGCGTGCTCCGAGTTCGTTCTTGACAGCCTTCTGATGAAATCTATCATTTTGCACATGTTCTACAGGTCAGATTGGGACGCTATTGTGAGTCAAAAATTAGCGATATTCAATAGGAAAGCCAGGACTATCACAGATATATCCAGGCATAAATCCACTGGCGAACGACTTAAAATGAATTCAATGGCGCTGTACAGAGTTCAACGCGTCTTCAAAATCAAATCACAACAGAGATATATTTTAGACTAGCGCTTTTGACATCTGACGCTCGTTCTGCGAGTCCTAGGGCACTTGTAGTAGTTGCGCACTCTGAGCTGAATAAGATTTTGTAGGACCCTCGTTTAACGTTGGGTTTAGAAACCCGTACCGGAACTCGAAACCGCACTGCGCGGTGTTTCAGTGATACATTTTCACATTGGGCCGTACTTATGGAAGAGTGGCGCTGATTCCCTGCAGGGACCGAATCAGAACTAACTTGAAAGACAGGAAGAAATGAATTGCGCCTGAATTTCGGGGAAGTCGATGAGTCGGACCCGACCGTCTTGAATTCATTCGAGGACCTGAAGGGTCGAGCCCTGAATGGATGAATGTAAAACAGCCATACCTTTGAGCGACAGGCAAAGCCTCGGCAGCGAAACGAACATTTGGATGCAGTGGACACTAATCTAGAGAGCACGATCGCCACGGGTCGCGTTGGTGATAAACACGGATCACCGCTGCGACTCGTCGTCTCAGATAAATAACCCTTTGAAGAACTTGACTCGTGAGTCCCTTCAACTCATTCAATTAAACTTCACTTGATGAGATTTCGACTTGTTTGCATTTTTTAACATTGATTTTGACCTCTCACCTTGCGGCCGTCACCCCGCACTCAGATCTGAACAGATTCACTTGATTTTATATGCATTCGAAAGCGCTTAAGAAGAGCTTTCCAACGGTACCCAAAAATATATAATTCTTGAAACAGATGCGGCCAGAAAAGGCAAAAAGATTGAGCACTGCAGGACTCGAACCTGCAACCTTTTGGTACGTGGTTACGTAAGCGGCACATCGAAGCCAAACACGCTAGCCATTGCGCCAAGCACCCGATGAAGGTCCTGGAGAGCACTGGAATATGGAGGGAGGCTGAGCTGATATGCGGGGGAGGCAGCAAAAGTTGGGTTTTGCGTTGGGAATCGCGATCGGACGTGATTTGATTGATTCCTGATGTGTGACAAGAGTGTGACACGGCAGGCGGGTGTGACAATGGAGTAGGAGAGAGGTTGAGGGTAGGGGGAAGAGGTCTTATATGTGGTGATCGGGATCAAAAACCTGTTCAACTTGAAAGTAACCAAACACAGATGTTGGGATCGTGCAAGACCTTGTGCATATTCAAACAACAACTTGGAGTCCATGACGAAAGGTGATGTTCTGGACTAGGAGACTGAGAAAGGATTTGGGAGGTGTATGATGGTAACACAGGGGGTAAAACCTGTGACAGGTAAGCTGAGACTGCCGTCAGCGCAAACATTCATGTGATTTGCATGCAGCGAACACTGTGATTATGGAGTACTTGCTGTCCCACTACCTTGCATTAATACAAGACTTTTCTGATATGTCAGACACGTCAATCATTCAAGAAAAGAAGGTCGACCGCTGTCCTTCAACCGCAAATGGTCTCCATGTGCAGATCAACATGACGCCATTGCCATTTGATTTGCTTCTTAGGGCTGTTAACTCTTATCAAACTCTCTGTCTGGACCCTTAACTCCATATATATGAGCTCAGCTGGACCATCTACCGTCGGTACCAAACATAATCAGAGGTCATAATCACCACCCGTTTTGCCTCCCAATAAATGCTCCAAGGGTACTATGCCTCCGACCAGCTCTCAGAGTGATCCTTATAAGCTGCAGAAGGCCAACATCAAACCTGTTAATGCATCTCTTTGAAGCTGTTGTTGGGCCTCAATCTTTTCATGAGTTTGCCAGGTTGAATTTGAAACTGGGCATCCTGCTGGACCATTCTTCCTGTGGCAGGCAGAGAAAACACTATTTACCAGCATGACAACACAGTGGTAGGTAGAAGAGGAACAAAGACAATCCTAATGGGAGTTCCTCGGTTGGCCGACATTTATGAATGATCTCGTGGTCAACGTAACTACGATCCTACCTTTTGAGAGATGAATGATCTCACAATCGACAGATGTGTGATTGTTGCAGAGAACAGTAATGTATTCTGAACTCATCTACCAGTTAGGTGCCCAGATCACTGCTGTTCACCTGCTCTAACAGCAGTTTGATTTCACCTGCCATGCGTTTTGCCCCCCGTGTAAGGATGAAGGATTATTGAAGTTGAGTTTGAACTTCAAGAGCATGGCAAACCTGATTGGATGTTCAAAAATACATGACAGTAGTGATGTTCTACCTTTATCCTCAGGCCAAAAAGCCATGAATTTTTGGCTTGGGTACCTATGCCAAGGCCAAGCTAACAATTAGCCGATGGCTTTGCCTGAGAATTAGTCAGGCCAGAGCCAAATATTGTCCCAATTTCCCCCAAAAGCCATGGCTCATGTCAGCACAGTGGCTCGTCAGGTTATTATACGACTGAGGCGATTGAACGACAATAGAGGATTCAAGTTGGGGTCGGGTTAATGCGACGGGGGGAGCAACTGGAGGGTAGACAAGGATAGTATGAGGCACTGTCTAGGGTACAGGGCCTATATATACTAAATGATCGTAACTGCCAAGTAACGGAAAGGGGGTTTCCAGGGATAAATGAGACGGGTAGGGGTTGAGGAGAAACCGATCGTAGCTATACGATCGGGTTTTAAGGGTTAATGCGGAATAAATGAAATAACCCGAATCATGACAGCTCAGACCAAAGCCAGGCCAGAGCCAGTCAAATCCATGGCTTTTGCTTTGGCCTGGCTTTGGTTTTTATAAGCCAAAGCCAGAACATCACTACATGTCAGAGGGTGGGATCGCTGGGTAGTTGAGGTAGGTTGATGGTGGGTAGATCTAGAGGGTGAGCAGATGTAGGAGGGAAGGGATCAATAATTGTTCAAGAGATGAAGTTCCACAGCAATAGAGATCATACCACACATATTCACATTAATTGTCTTTATGACAGAGGAGTGTCATGGACAAGGAGCAATCATCCACAGTAGGGATCAAGATTTTTTTTTTCAAGTTATGTTCAAAGTCAAAGTAATGACACACATGAATTTGTAGATGGCAACAGAGATGATACCAGACCTCATCATATATCTGAGTGTCAGCTTGGTGTCCATGAAAAGGAGCGAGAGGGTCGGAGGGAGGGAGGTGGCAGTATCCACAGTAGAGGTCAAAATTTGTCCTCTCCAGTTGGAGTTGAAGCACCGACAAGCATGAGGATGGCCATTGGGATTGTGCTGCCAGAGGGTGTGAGGCTGAGCAAGGACTTGACAGGAAGTGTGTGATCATCAGCAGTGGGGGGTCAAAAATTCCGTTCCAGTTGAGTTCGAAGTTGAGGAAGGGCTTGGGAGTAAGCATGTACAATAAAATCAAGAATTTTTCGGAATTGAGTTTGACGCTGAAACGAACAGGAATTCTGCCAGCTGGATAGAGTTCAGAGTCCATGACAGTGAGGTGTTGTTCTGAGGAAGGACTACGGAGGAGGTACATGATCAAGTTCAAATTGGGGCACGAAGCACAATAGGATCAATAATTTTTCAAGTCGAGTTTGAACTGAGATAAGGACAAACATGAATTGGTTGGATGGCAATAGGGATCGTGCTAGGCCACATAACACTATGTCGGAATCTGTGACAAAAGAGTGACGTAGGAGGGAAGGTTGTGATCATCCACAATAGGGATCAAGAATTTCAAGTTGAGTTTGAAGTTGAAGCAATGAGGATCACATCACCGACACCAACATAGTCAGAGGGTTTGGAGAGGTTGCGGTGCAGTTGTGGAGGACTTGGGAAGAGGGATATGGCATTATTCAATTTAAGTTTAACGTTCAAAGTGGATTTTTGTTCGGATGGCAGAGAATAGAGGGAAGGACTAACAGGTGTTGCCCTCCGTGGGGTTTCTTCACTCGAATAAGTGCTACCTTCCCTCGCCTTTCCTCACACTTTTCCCTCCATGCAATTTCCACGTCTATTTACAAATACAATGGTTCTCAACACCGAAGGTATCATGTGTAAGCAAAGACTATACTACAGCGTCCCACCGCGATCAATCCAGAAGCCAAACTATAAGAAAAGGAAAGTGTCCCAGAAGCCATCAATTCTTCATCGAACGCTCGTCGTTCTCGCTCATATCCTCCATGGGTGACTTCGGGGAGTAAATATCGTCGGTGTGCTGCATCGTCTGCACCTGGGTCTTCACCTGAATCGGCATGACGTTACGATTCCCCGAGAGCGATACCGTCACGTTGTTCGTGCGCCCGCGCCGCCCGCTCGTTACCTCCGTGCTGCCCGTATTCCGCCCGTTGGAATGCGCGAGCTGGATGCTCTTGCGCGAGTTGAGCGTCCACATCGCGGACAGCGCGTACAGTTTGGGCAGCACGAAGTTGCTCGTGATAGTGAGCAATGTCCACGCGTTAGGTGAGCCAGAGGCAGCTTTTGGGTCCGCTTGCGAGCCGATGAGGTTGAGGCAGGCGCAGAGTGCAGCCGGTGCCGCGGACTGAGAGTTAAACGCAGTAAGCGGGAGAACTTTGGCGATGGGATAACGAGAGATGCACCCGGAATGTCAACTTCACGATGGCGTTCAACATGCCCCCTGTTTCTGGCAGCACTTGCTTGGAGTGGGACTGATGCGTCGAAGTGTGAGTCAGATGAAGTTATACGAGGCCGGTTGCCTCACGCACCAGAAGGAAATATACAGTGCTCCCACATAGAAAAAAATCCCCGGCGAAAACTGTTCCCAGGTGAATGCCAACTAGAATTAACGGAGTCGTTAACATAAGCTCTGATATTCTGCGGACCGGGACTTACTCCAACGGGCGTTGCGTGTATCCGTAACACCTGCGAACGTGTATGCGGTCTGTGTTTATTTTAGCGGTGAGTATTCAAAATTCAGCAGGCGACGCACAGATACGATGGCAGCTACCAGGGCAAAGACAAATAATGAGAGAATCACGGCCACCACGTAGATGTTCCGTGATATTGCCTGCATGGGATAAATACCGAGCATTGGGAAGTGTGTGCACAGAGACTCGCCCAAAGACGCTGGCAGAAGAATAATTGGACGTAAAAGGCGATGAACGCGACGAAGACGATGTTCGCCTCAGATGTCCATGTGGGGCCGGCTGCTCCCCCGATATCTGCGAAATGCGTTACGTTTTGCGACCACATGATGGCTCTTATTTGGAAATTAGCACCGAGTATTCAGCGGGCGACTCAAATAAACTCACATTGCTTGTGCGCTCTTCAATGTCGTGATTATCAGAAGGCCTCCAACAAAAGCGCGTAGGGCCAGAATGTCCTTGCTGTACAGTGTCACATAGTGTGCAAATTGCGCGAACACCACACCCTGCAGTACGAGGTCCGCGCATATACCAAGATCCTACTAATCAGTTAGCTGCGTCCATCAGATTTTTTTCCCCCGAAAACGCACCCAGGCACCGAGGAGGAATGTAACAACCGGAGGAGTAGGCATGCTGACAAGTGATGGGCGATTGAGATGCTGATGTACCTACCGACCGCCGGCAACGACGAGGGCGGGAGCGGAGCGAAAAGAGACAAAGAGTGGGACTGAATTCGAGGGGGGAACGCATCGATATATATAGTAACTGGGAATATAAATAAATCAGATTGCACCTGTTTGCCAATAGTACCGGTACTTCTTGTCCTCATCCATTCAAGACGCCATAAATGTTCCTCCCCCAAGTCTCAACTACATAAGAGTTGCTGGAGTCCATTCCGATCAGTCCTACAGAGATAAGATGGATAAAATCTGGGCCTGCTCGTCCCGCTGCTCTCATGTTTGCATTTGCATCCGCGGTTGTACTACGTGTCCTCCAAGATTCGACTCTACAAGTCTCCCTCGCTATCGGACGAGGTAGGACGTATTTTCTCGTCGGATTCGTTCAAATCCACGTACGGATCTGCTTCTATCGGCC